CCCCACCAGGACCCCCCAGAACCCCCCCCAAGCCCCCCGGGGGTCTCACCGGGGGTCAGCAGCCGGTCCTGGTACTTGGGCACGTGGGGGTCGACGCTCTGCAGCATCACCCACATGGTGAGGGCGAAGAGCCCGGCCAGGAACCCGTAAAACACCAGGTAGAACAGCAGGATCAGCCCTGGGGGGCGGGTTGGGGGGTCAGGGACCCCGAAAAATGAACTCCCCGCGAGGAAAAACCCCCAGGGGGCAGAAATCCCAAAAATCCCAACCGAAATGGGGAGAAAATCCCAACCGAAATGGGGGGAAAATCCCTAAAATTGGGGATAAATCCCAAAATTAATCAGGTTGGAGCAGCGGGATCAGCCCTGGGAGGGGGATTTGGGGTCAGGGACCCCTAAAAACGAATTCCCCGGGAGGAAAAACCCCCAGGGGGCAGAAATCCCAAAAAAAATCCATTAAAAATGGGGGGAAATCCCAAAAATCCCAACCGAAATGGGGAGAAAATCCCAACCGAAATGGGTGAAAAATCCCTAAAATTGGGGATAAATCCCAAAATTAATCAGGTTGGAGCAGGAGATTTAGCCCTGGGGGGCGGTTTGGGGGGTCAGGGACCACAAACAATTAATTCCCCGTGAGGAAAAACCTCTCGGGAGCAGAAACCCCAAAAATCCCAACCGAAATGGGGGGGAAATCCCCAAAATTACACCTCAAAAGCGTGAAAATGCCCTAAAATTTGGGGATAAATCCCAAAATTAATCAGGCTGGAGCAGCGGGATCAGCCCTGAGGGACATTTTGGGAGGTCAGGGACCCTAAAAATTAATTCCCTGTGAGGAAAAACTCCCCAAAAACTTCCCAAACACCCCAAAAAATTCCATTAAAATTGGGGGAAACTCCCAAAATCCCAACCGAAATGGGGAAAAAACCCCAAAATTACACCATGAAAGGGTGAGAAATCCCTAAAATTGAGGATAAATCCCAAAATTAATCAGGTTGGAGCAGCGGGATCAGCCCTGGGGGGCGGTTTGGGGGGTCAGGGACCCCAAAAAATGAATTCCCTGGGAGGAAAAACTCCCCAGGGGGCAGAAATCGCAAAAATCCCAACAGAAATGGGGGAAAAAATCCCAGAATTACACCATAAAAGGGTGAGAAACCCCTAAAATTTGGGATAAATCCCAAAAAAAATCACTTTGGAAGAGCAGGATCAGCTCTGAGGGGGCGAATTTGGGGTCAGGGCCCCAAAAACTGCCCCAAACCCCCAAATCTGCCCCAAAAATTCCCTTAACCTTGCAAATGTTGCCCCAAATCCTTCAAAAACTCCATAAATTTACACCGCTGGCACCAAATCCCCACAGAACATGCCCTGAACGCCCCAAATACCCCCAAAAATGCCCTGAAAACCCCAAATTCTCATTGATTTACCACATTAACATCAAATACCCCAAAAAAACCTGCCCAAATCCCATAAAAAAACCCAAAATTCACCCCAAAAATCCACCCCAAACCCCTCAAATACTCTTGAATTCACCCCATAAATGTCAAATAACACCAAAAACTGCCTCAAATACCCCAGAAATGCCCCGGATACTCCAAATTCTCATTAATTTACCCCACAGACATTAAATACCCAAAAAACGGCCCCACATACCCCAAAACCTGCCCCAATCCCACTTAAAAAACCCAAAAAGTTACTCTGAACGCCTCAAATTCTCATTAATTCACCCCATGAATGTCAAATATCCCAAAAAACTGCCCCAAATACTCCCAAAACTGCCCCGGACACCCCAAATTCTCATTAATTTACCCCATAAATGTCAAATATCCCCAAAACTGCCCCAAATACCCCCCAAAATTGCCCAAATCCCATTAAAAAAACCCCAAAAAACTGCCCCGAACACTTCAAATATTCATTTATTCAGCCCATAAATGTCAAATATCCCAAAAACTGCCTCAAATACCCCCCAAAAATGTCCTGGACACCCCAAATTCGCATTAACCCCACAAACGTCAAATTATCCCAAAAACTGCCCCAAAACCCCCCCAAAACTGCCCCAATCCCATTTTAAAAAAACCAAAAAACCGCCCCAAACACCTGAAATATTCATTTATTCAGCCCATAAATGTCAAATATCCCAAAAACTGCCCCAAAACCCCCCCAAAACTGCCCCAATCCCATTTTAAAAAAACCAAAAAACCGCCCCAAACACCTGAAATATTCATTTATTCACCCCATAAAAGTCAAATCCCCCCAAAATCGCCCCGAACACCCCAAAACTGCCCAAATCCCACCAAAAAAAAAACCCCAAAAATCCGCCCCGAACCCCCCAAATCCCCACTCGGAGCCCCCAAAATCCCCCCTAAAAACTCCCAAA